CTGCAGGCAACGGCTCCACCCGCTATCCCCAGCGCTGGCCCCTCAAAAGTTATTTTAACATCTGACTTTTGACAACAACCTGACAGAAACAACAATTTCTCACATTAAGCAAACCTTCCAGTGTTTCTGCAAAATGCACAGGGCAGTAAAACACATTCAGCATATTATTTTCAAAAAACTTCCTCTCTGGTTATGAGTATTAATGATTACTAGAGACTAAACATTTTTTTTAAATAAAGAAATCTACCACCTGTTGAATCACCCCCAAAAACTCCCACAGCAGACAGAAAGATGCTGGACCACGTCAGGAGCCAGGGACTCCATCCAGGACTCCCACGTGGGTGACAGGGACCCGAGTGCCACGGCCATCTCAGTGGCCTCCCGGCATCTGTAGTGGCCAGCGCTGGAGTCAGGAGCCAGGGCCCCACCAGGCGATGTGGGTGTCCCACCCGCCAGGCACGTGGGATGTGGCTGCCCCGCCCACCAGGCACGTGGGATGTGGGTGTCCCGCCCGCCAGGCACGTGGGATGTGGCTGCCCCGCCCACCAGGCACGTGGGATGTGGGTGTCCTGCCCGCCAGGCACGTGGGATGTGGCTGCCCCGCCCACCAGGCACGTGGGATGTGGGTGTCCCGCCCGCCAGGCACGTGGGATGTGGCTGCCCCGCCCGCGAGGCACGTGGGAAGTGGGTGTCCTGCCCGCCAGGCACGTGGGATGTGGGTGTCCCGCCCGCCAGGCACGTGGGATGTGGGTGTCCCGCCCACCAGGCACGTGGGATGCGGGTGTCCCGCCCGCCAGGCCACTCTGAACGACTGCGGGAGCTCCCCCTGTCACTCAGAACTCGGCTTGGGGCGTCATCCATCTCTGGGATCAGAGCTGTCACCAAAACACAGCCAGCCCGACTAGGGTATCCTGACCGAGCGGGTTCTCCACGCAGGCTAACGCGTCCGCCTCTCACCCTTCTCCAGGGCTCACAGCAGGTGTGCAAGGCACGGGGGCCAGGGCTCCCTGCTGTGGACCCTGGGCCACCAGCCCACACCTCCACCCACAGACAGCAGCAGCTCCAGCAGTGCGGCAGAGGAGAGGGCTGGGCTCCTCAGTTCCCGTGTGCGGACCCCGGAGGAACAAAGCGGCCCCAGACCTGCCGGACTGCATCAGGCCTGGGGGTGGGGGTGGGGGTGGGGGGCTGGCCGGCATCACCCGGACAGGAAGTGGTAACACTAATAATGGCAACGTGGGCTTGGGGCACCCGGGTGGTTTCCTGTGCACACACATGAGGGAGGTTATACACGCATACAAACATTTTTTGCACAAAATAAAACTTATCACCTTTTAACTCCATCTTCCCACAAACATTTTCAAGCACTGATACACACAATGACCCCACCAGCCAAAGGCCTTCTGGACAGAGAACAAGGAAACCCCACACACGCTGACGCAGCCTTTCTCACGGCTTGCCTGCACCCCCTTTAACGACCCAACAACCATCTCTCCAACCAGATGGGGCCGAGAGCTACGGAAGCACACGTCCGCCGGGCTCCCCTGACGGCTCCCGCTCTCCCACCTCCAGCTCTTTCCCTGCGGGCTCCTTCCCAGACAATCTTCCTCCACCCCAGCAGGGTCTCCCAGAAACCCGACACCGTCAGTGTGGGGCGGGCATGCACCCCTTTCCTCAATCGCCCTGGCCAGGCAGACACGGGGGCGGGCAGAGTTGGCCCTGGCCCCTCAGGACCCCGCCAAGGGCGGGTGCCCGGTACCCCGTGCCCAGTGCGGGAATGACAGCTGGAAAGCCCAACTCCCAAACACAGCTCCACTCAGTTAATTTAGCATCTACTATGTGCACGGCAAGAGCTCGGTGACTTTTTCTAGCAAACAGCTTCTGTGTGAACACAAAGCTTCGCAGGATCCAGAAACAGCCCACGAGCGACAGCTGCTGCCCACAGGGGGAGAACCTGATTTAAGTGTTAATTTGCTCATGCTGGACACGAAAAGAACACGGGTGATAAACAGAAAGAGCTACACACTAGGCACACATAGTGACAGAACATGCCCCCGCAGATCCGTAACATCCCACACGAAACACCGCCGACTGCCAGGGGCCGCTGTGCGGTGCAGTGGGTTAAGCCACCAACCACACCAGCAGCCAGCAGCCTGTGTGGGCGCCAGTTCGAATCCCAGCTGCTCTACTTCTGATCCACTTCCTGCTGTGCCCAGGGAAGCAGTGGAAGATGACCCAAGTCCTTGGGCTCCTGCACCAGTGTGTGAGACCCGGATGAAGCTCCTGGCTCCTGGCTTCGGTCTGGCCCAGCCCTGGCCCTTGCGGCCATTTGTGGAGTGAACCAGCGGATGGCAGATCTCTCTCTTTCCCTCTCTCCATCAGTAAGCCTTTCAAATAAATCAATCAATCTAAAAAAAAAAGTGTCAACTGTGACTTTGTACAAACAATGCAGAGGACAGGACAGGACAGGAGCCCCCGCAGAGCCAAGCTCCTGCCTGTTCCTGACGTATCTCTCAGACTCTGGCCAACGCTACGGGATTCTTAAGCTGTCACCCCAAGACACGTCAAGGAGACCACAACGTCCTTAAAGAATCCGAACTCCCAGTGACAAATCCACACAGCCACTTCCCTCGCAACAAAGGTGGGAGGAGCTGTGGGAGGCCAAGGTCTCCAACCTGGAGTCCAAGAAACCAGTGGCTCTGAGGAGAGGCACAAATCCGAGCTAGGCAGCAAGGAGCCGGATGACCCCAGAGACTCTCTCCCAGCAGTCAGCTGGGTGCTGGGCGGGGCTGACTGCAGACCCTCCCAGCAGCCAGTGGGGCGTCCCTGAGTGGGGAGGGGACCTGAGACTGCAGACCCTCCCAGCAGTCAGTGGGGCGTCGCTGAGTGGGGAGGGGACCTGAGACTGCAGACCCTCCCAGCAGTCAGTGGGGCATCGCTGAGTGGGGAGGGGACCTGAGACTGCAGACCCTCCCAGCAGTCAGTGGGGCGTCGCTGAGTGGGGAGGGGACCTGAGACTGCAGACCCTCCCAGCAGTCAGTGGGGCGTCGCTGAGGGGGGAGGGGACCTGAGACCGCAGACTCTCCCAGCAGTCAGTGGGGCGTCGCTGAGTGGGGAGGGGGCCTGAGACTGCAGATTCTCCCAGCAGCCAGTGGGCGTCGCTGAGTGGGGACTGAGACTAGAAGCGGGTAGACGTCAGAGGACAACAGCATGAACGAAGTGTCCTCAGGACTGAGAGTGACACTGTCCCGTGTCCCCAGGGAGACCCCAATGGCCGTGTGACGTGTCCTCCAGTCTCCTTGTCTCCCTGCCTCTCTGCCAGGGATTTTCACGAGTGCAGGTGGAATTCACGTGCAGTAAGTGAGACCTCCACTCTCCACAGGGCAGCCAGGGCTGCCGCCCCCCCCAACATGCTGACCCCAAAGCCGGGGTCCCGTGTACACAGCCACGCCCCGAGTCCCCTGCAGTCTTCAGCACCCTCCCCCTCAGTCATGCCCCCAGGGCGTGGCAGATCTAGGTCCGTTCAAGGGGCTGTGCCGGAGCCGGAGCAGAGCCACGGATCCTGGAAGAGTCCCAGCTAAGCACTGGCAAGGCTTCGCCTCTCCGTCACCAAGGGCCATAGTGCCACCAGGTAGGTCCTGACATTCTGAGAGAGACAGAGCCGCTCAGTGAAACTGCCATGTGCCAAAGCATCTGTCCAGCAGAGAGGAAGACAGGGCATTTCCCAATGGACAAACCCTGACCCGGTAAGATGGACAGTGTGGGACCCCAACAACAGATACGCGGGGCTCCTCCGGCACTTGGCTCGCTCGCTGACGCATGGCAGGCCCTGGCCCCACGTGACAGGGACCACGCAGTTCTCAACTCTCGCAGGGCACAGCGACTCTGTGTCCCTTCAACAACCAGGAGTCCAGCAGGGGAAGAGCCGCCAGGAGGGGGCGGGCTGACCGGGGTCCCACCCCTCGGAGGACTCAGCTTTGCGGGGGGGCGGGGAGGGGGGACAAGGAAGTGCCTCCCCGGGGGGTGGAGCGGGCAGCGGCAGGGACTGTGCCGCGGCCGCAGGGGAGAAGCCGCCACGTGCAGAGAGCCAGACTCCGGGAGAGGGGCCCCAGGTCGTGCATGTCCCCGGGACACCACGGGCACCTGTGAAGCCAGGTGCACAGGTGGGAAACGTCTCTTACACGCCATTAAGGAGGGAAAACGTGCCTGGGCCTTAGGCAAAGGGTCACTCCAGGTCCTCCTGGAAACACTCCTGCAAGTCACCGCCGGTGCCGAAGCGCCCCAGCAGCGCCTCGCCCGGCACCACCAACAGCCACCGCCTGTGCCCACTTCCCCATGCTCACATCTGGGACGGCCGCGCTCTCCGGGGCTCCGGCAGGCTGCGTGGGGGCTGGGCACAGCCGCCCCCTCCAGGGCTCCCGCAGGCTGCGTGAGGGCTGGGCACGGCCGCCCCCTCTGGGGCTCCCGCAGGCTGCGTGGGGGCTGGGCAGAGTCAGGGCGACGGAGAAGAATCATTCACACATCTGGAAGAACACGCCGCCTGTGTCTGGGGGCTTGCGGGGAGCAGTTCGGTGGGCACCAGAGTCCCCGAGGCCGCGGGAGCAGGGCCTGGCTCAGGGGGCAGCACCTGCACCTCAAGGGTGTCCGTGACAGACGGGGACGAGGAAGGCCAGGTCCCGGCCCGTGCTGGGGTAAGCTGCTCTCCCGTCACACTTACCGTGGGGGGCGGTGGCCGTGGTGGCCTGGGGCGCGCCCTTCCTCACTCAGCTGACAGCATTAAGGACCAGAGGCAGCGGGACCTCTTCCCACGCTACTTTCCACGGGGCCCGTGTCTCTCTGCACCAGCCCAGCCCACGCGTACGCCCATCAGGCCTCTCGTGAGCACCCCGGCTGCTGCCCGTCTCCGCAGCGTGCCCATGGCACCCTGGCACACAGCACTCAGCCTCATGAGGGAGAGCCAGGGCCTCTGCAGAGGGCACCCCTCTGTCCGGAGAGGTCTGAGGCTAGCCCAGGGCCAGGCGGGTCCCAGGGGATGCCAGGCAGGCGCAGGTTCCGCTGTGCGGTGCCAGCGGCATGGGCACCCGCTCCTTCCTCATCTGACTGAGGGAGCTTCGGCAAACAGGCTCATCTGGCTGCAACCTCAGGCACTCAGCCCAGGGGAGCTGGGCCACAGGAGCCACAGTGGGCGTGCTGCGCCTGGCCAGGGGCTCAAGTCTCTGTGTCCCCCTCCCCGTGTCCCCGAGCGTGGGGCCCACCCCGGCGGTGGCAATACCTGTGTGCGCCCGCATGTGCGCCCTGAGGTGGCTGGGCTGGTGGAAGGTCTTCCCGCACTCGACACAGACGAAGTCCCCGGGGCGCGCCTGCGGCCGGAGCGTCCCTGCGGTGGAGGTGGCGCCGGGGAGCAGCACAGCGTGGCCGTGGCCGGGAGGTGTGCGGGGGAGGAGGGGAGGACGAGAGAAAACACCGTTAGTCTGTCTGACGCATCGCCGTGTGAGGACGCCGCCAGGCCCATGACAACTGCCAGCCTTCACCTGGGCGCCAGCTCTCGGGCCGGGCTCGCCCAGGACCGCAAGGACGCATAGATTACAGCGAACTCACACCCGCCCCCCACGACAGGCTCAGGCCGCCACCCGGCTCTGTCAGGCAGCATGTCGGCCAAACCACAGTGCCACCACTGTGCAGCGGCAGGCGCGTGGGAAGTGAGCGGGATCAGAGCCGGCCGTGCCCAGCTGGGTCCCAGGAGACGGCATGGAGTGAGCACAGCCCTTGGCCGGGCCCCCCGCCCCACCTGCTGTCCCCACGGCTCTGCCTGCAGCGCCCGTACCAGACTCAGCCTGGGGACACCTGTGACCCGCCCCCTGGGGAGCTAGTGACACCAGCAGCCCCCGGCGGATGCACGCACTATACCACAGCAGTGGCATGGGTACCACACCAGGCTGCTCCCCTCACCAGACGCCAAGCCCTGGGCTTCCAGAGAGCGAGGAAAGGGACAGAGGGGGCGTGGATGCTGGGCCTGCATCCCCCTGTAGCTCCAGAACCTTCCCCCGGGCAGGCAAGAAGAAGCTCCCCTTTCACGTCACAGCAGTGCCGACACCACCTCCCCGTCGGGCTCGGGGGGTCACCCCACGGGGAGAAGGAGACAGAGCCACACGTGCAGCCGCTCCCTGGCTGAGCGGGTGTCAGGCCTGGTGTGTGATGGACACCCAGAGGCCCCGACTCAGGATGGCTCCGCAGAGGACAGCGGCCTGAGATCACGCCTGTGCCACAGTCAAGGGCACAAGGACACGCGTGATTTACCACAGCGAGGAGCGTGGACTGCGAGGCAATGCTGGCCCGCCCAGTGAGCCCTCGGGGCCCCACAAAGGAGACAAGTGTGAGCCGACGCTCAACCCTCAGTCACTCACGAAAGCCACAGACGCCCCCGTCCACGGCAGGTGCCCCGGTGACCCATGGGCCACACTGTCCCCACACCCCGAAGCTGCAGTCCGGGCAGGACTCGGGGGGCTAGGATGCCGGCAGCACAGGCAGCGAAGGCACCCAGGAGGCTGAGCACATAAACCGGAGTGAGCAGCCGGGCCCTGCGAGGGGCGTCTACCTGCAGACGTGGCGTGCGACACGGGGCTGCTGCCCGGAACCCGCGCGGAAACCACGGCGTCCAGCCACACAGCAGCAGGAGGGAAAGGCAGCGTGGGGCCTGGCCCTGGACGCGCGGCACAGCCGCGGCCGGGAGGGAGCCCACCCAGCGGCCCGGAAGGCTCATGCCCGCAGGTCCGCTGCCATCCAACGGCTGCCATTTAACCTTTCAGGGACAGCTTTCCTCCTCGGAATTCTGCCCGGGAAAACCTCAACATCCAAAGCCACCTTGGTCCGCTCACGCCACCGGGAGAACCATGCAGCCCCGCCCCCATGAAACAGCCCAGACACTGGGACCCTCCGCACCTCCCAGGGCGGCTGGGGCGCGAAGTGTGGACGCACCGGTGCCGCCCCCTCGCGGCGAGGGCCAGGCTGTGCGGGCTTCCAAGCATGCAGACAACACCCTTCTCAGGAACCCTGACCTGCTGCTTCCTATCAGAAGGCTCACTCCTTCAGGGCAGCGCGTGTCAGCACGCGTGCGCACACGCACGCACACACACACAGGGTCCCATGCGTTTGACCATCACGCTTTCTCTCCTCTTTCTAAAGAGAGGATTCCCTCCCTTGGCAGGCAACATTATGCCTCATCTACTCCAACGTTCTGAGCTCATCACCACGGCCATAAACGTACTTGTGCTTGGAGACGACCGTGTGTGCAAATGGCTCCGGCACCTGCTCCCAGAACCCAGGTTGTCTACAGAAAGTGCCTGGGAGGGAGGCTCGCCAGCCCGCCACCCTCCGCTGAATTAAACTGCGCCCCCCCTCCCACAGGGAGAACGGGGAGCCGAAAAAGACGCGTGAACAGCAGACGTAACTGCTACCACACTAACGCACCCTTGGTCAAGGGGACCATGCACCCTTGGTCTAGGGGACTACGCACCCTTGGTCTAGGGGACTACGCACCCTTGGTCTAGGGGACTATGCACCCTTTGGTCTAGGGGACTATGCACCCTTTGGTCTAGGGGACCATGCACCCTTGGTCTAGGGGACTATGCACCCTTGGTCTAGGGGACCATGCACCCTTGGTCTAGGGGACCATGCACCCTTGGTCTAGGGGACCATGCACCCTTGGTCTAGGGGACTATGCACCCTTGGTCTAGGGGACTATGCACCCTTGGTCTAGGGGACTATGCACCCTTTGGTCAAGGGGACCATGCACCCTTGGTCTAGGGGACTATGCACCCTTGGTCTAGGGGACTATGCACCCTTGGTCTAGGGGACTACACACCCTTGGTCTAAGGGACTACGCACCCTTGGTCTAGGGGACTACACACCCTTGGTCTAGGGGACTACGCACCCTTGGTCTAGGGGACCATGCACCCTTGGTCTAGGGGACTACGCACCCTTGGTCTAGGGGACCATGCACCCTTGGTCTAGGGGACCATGCACCCTTGGTCTAGGGGACCATGCACCCTTGGTCTAGGGGACCATGCACCCTTGGTCTAGGGGACCATGCACCCTTGGTCTAGGGGACCATGCACCCTTGGTCTAGGGGACCATGCACCCTTGGTCTAGGGGACTATGCACCCTTGGTCTAAGGGACTACGCACCCTTGGTCTAAGGGACTACGCACCCTTGGTCTAGGGGACTATGCACCTTGGTCTAGGGGACTATGCACCTTGGTCTAGGGGACCACTTGGTCTAAGGGACTACGCACCCTTGGTCTAGGGGACTATGCACCCTGGTCTAAGGGACTACGCACCCTTGGGTCTAGGGGACTATGCACCCTTGGTCTAGGGGACCATGCACCCCTTGGTCTAGGGGACTATGCACCCTTGGTCTAAGGGACTATGCACCCTTGGTCTAGGGGGACTGCCTTCTGCTCCCAGTAAGGAAACTGACAGGCAGTTAATCCAGAATCACCAATCCATTATTTCCCCCATCTACTTAACATCCATACTACCCTGTGATCCACGCGGGCTGCAGAGTCCGGGACCACGGAACAACTGATGACGCGAGAAGTGGCTGTGGCCACAAGGCACTCGGGCCCTGGACCAGGCGGTCTAGCTCGGTCGCCCGCGCCACCACGAGCACCACCAAGTGCAGGCTGCTCCCGGGAGGAGTGGGTGTGGGGGTCCCGGGGCTCTGCCTTCCTGGCCCGAGAGGTTTCTGGACAACTCCTTCCGACAGACACACTGTGCGGCCCCACACGGTGGGGAAAGCTCCCGAGCTGTATCTCTCTTCCCCTCGGGATGACATTTGGTGTCCCGGGGCCGGCTCGCAGCCACGTTCTCTACAAACCGAACAAGCCCACTGCAAAATCCGTCACGCGTCCAGCACCGCGACCGCTCCCTGCACACGGCGGACGGCTGACTGTTCTAGACAACGCTCATCTGTCCTGACTGCAGGACGTGTGGGGTCAGGGCCGGCCCGAGGGAAGAGGCTGTGGTCCTTGGTCCTGCAGGCGGCCTCAGCACATGTGCGGGGCAGATCTGCAAGGAACCGGTCAACCCGTGTGAAACCAAAGGCTACTCTGACGTCCGACGAAAGAAGCCTCAGGACCTGATGGGATATCAACGAAGGCCAAGGGCGGGTGGCTGCGGGGACTCGTGGGAAAGCCACGCCCCAGCCAGCCTGGCCTCCAGCGCGCCCAGCCACGCGGCCCTGCCCTGGCGCTCTGGCAGCCTGCTCAGCAGGTCTACGCGATCTGCTCAGCTCCCTGAGGCGGGGGGACGACAGCCAGCCTGGGTGGCCTCCCTCCAGCTCAAACACCACGAACACGCAGCGCCCAGGGAGAGACCCGGCACGGAACGGCTGAGAACAGGGGCGTCTGACGGAGGACAGGGCCGTCCTGCAGAGGAACGTCCGGCTCTCGGCTCACCCCCATCGGCCAGCCACCAAGTCCACACGGGCGGCCAGTCCTGCCCGGCACTCGGCACTTCTCGGCTCGTCAACCCAGGGGGATGGTCCCCGGAACTGAGATTCCAAAAATGCACCCAACAGAGGCATGAGGGGACCAGAGGTCATCAAGACGAGGTCAGAAGCCATAAACATGCCAGTGAGTCCAGAACACGTCACCCGAGGGAACACAGGAGATGCGTTCAGCATCGGTCACGCTGGAAACAGCCACATCAACCTCCCTCTCTCTAAGGAAGATGCTCGGAGGACCAGCGAGGAAAACCACCTGCTAAGGAAAAGGAAAACATGGCGGGCTACTTGACGTGTCACGCGTTGCCAGCGGAAACTCTCAAGACCTCGGGAAAAGCAGCAGCTGGGGCCCACGGGCGGCAGCCCACAGGCCTGCTCGAGCAGGTGACGTGGCTCGCTCCGTGGGCGGGGAGCTGGATGGTGCGTGCAGCCGCAGGCGCACAGATGCCCCAGCCCCGTGTGCTCAGGGAAAGGCCGTGGAGCATGGCACTCATGCCCCAGTAGGGCCCCGCAGGCCCAGGACAATGCAAGCCAGGCCCCTCACTCATTGGGCATCTCCAGCCCCACCCTGCAGGGCCCAAGGACACGGGGTGGAAGGGCTGCGGCTGGCTCAGCTCCAGGGGCCAGCAGTGCACCCGTGTTCCCTTCACGGCACAGCAGGTGCACAGGTGCAAGGGGCAGCAGAGGCCGAGCACACCCTCGGTTCAACAGCAAACCACACGGGGAGGCTCGGGGCTGCCTGGCCGGAGAACCCACCGGCCATCCCTGCCGCACAGCGCACGCACGGGCGCGACACGGCCCTGCCCCCGTCAGGTCTCGAACACGCCCCGCGTGGCTCACCTCACCCTAAGCAGCTCACAGGGGCTCGCTGGCCCTGCAGAGAACAGCCAGACGCCGCGGGGACTTCTCCCATGCGGAGAGCATCCTGACCAAGGGCGTCGCTTCACACCCAGGCCACCCAGCAGCGGGACGCCCAGAGAGACCCCAGTGCCCACCACAGGGCGGCGCCACCCTGGGGTGCCGGGCCCCTCTCCAAAGGGCCCCCAAGCCCTGAAACCCCCTTCCCCCTCCGCGCTTCCTGTGTGCTGGCATCAGGGGCGTGAGATCTCAAGGTCCTGCACACGGAAGCCACCTCGGGACAACGCGGGTTCGTGATGGGTGGGTGCCCGGGACGGCAGGGCCCCCGGCGGACGAGGCGCCGGCGTGCAGCGGCCTTACCTCTGTGCTCGGGCCCGGGGCCGCCGCCCCAGCCCTGGTACAGCGTGGCCAGGTCCTGCGGAATGTACGTCTTGAAGATGCTGAGGATGTCCAGGCGCTTCTCGTGGCCCTCGGCGGCCGGCTCCTGCTTGATGGAGTGCAGGACGGGGGGCGCCCCGGCCGCGTCCCCCCGGGACCCCGCGGCACAGCTGGCCAGCGTCCTCAGCTCCTGGGCTGCCTTCAGAGGGGGCTCGCAGGGAGGGAGAGGCGGGCCCCCATCGGCGTTCGCGGGAGGCTGACCCTGAGGCTGAGGGCTGCATTTGGCTTTCAGGGGTTCGGGGGCGATGTGCTTACTTGGGGGGGGGCCGTACTTCTCCAGTGGCTTGCTGCTGGCCGCGGGCTGGGCGCCCACCCGGGGAATCACAGTGGGCGTGGGGGTGGCGCTTCCACTGAGGCTCCCGCCGCTGCCCGGGGCGGGCGCCGGCCTGGAGCCAACCTCCAGCTTGGGTTTCAGCAGGGGCTCCTGGCCGGGGCCGGGTCTGGTCTGTCGAGAGCCGTCGGCACCAGATGTCCACAGCGCACAGGGGCTGCTGGAGTGGCTCTCCTTGCCCTTGGGCGGCCCAGGGGCTCTCGCGCTCGCGGCCAGGGGAGCGGAGCTGCCGCCTCGGGGTCCCGGCGCCCCGCCTGGCACCTGAGTGCGGGTGAAGCGCGCCAGGAGCAGCGGCTGGCACTCCTTGCCGCCCAGGGCAGGCGGGGGCCCCGTGCGCCCACTCCGGGCCAGGAACACCAGGCTGCTCCTCAGGCTGCGCTGGCCGTCGGGCTGAGTCCACTGCGGGGCCATGGAGTTGCAGCTGACCCTGTGCCAGAGGCGTTTGTGCACCCACAGGACCTCCGGGTAGTAGGTCTTGTGGTCGCAGTAAGGACACGGGTGGACGACCAGCGCGGCCTGCAGGGACGAGGCCGCGTCCTTACTGCTGGGGTCGGCCCGGCTCGACCTGGCGCTCAAATCCAGCGGGGTCAGGTCTGGGGCCGGCGCCCGTCTCCCGCCCGCAGGGTGCTCCCGGCGGTGCCCGGCAGATGGCTTTTCTCTGGGGTGGCCGGCCTGGCCCTCCGGCGCGAGCTGCGGGTCTGCTCCGGCCACGCTCGGAGGGGCGTCCACACTGTCAGGGGCACTGGGGTGAACCGCTGGTGTCTTCCAGGCAGCAGAAGCCCGACACGGCTCAGGCCGCGTGCACGGCTCCCTGCCACAGTCTTCGAGGACGACCCCGGCCGTGGGCACAGAGGCGTCTCTTTCGGAGGGGCTGGTTCGGAGCGCGTGAGCCTGGTCCCCGTTGGAGAGCACAGAGGATGCCATCTCTCCGGGAAAGCAGCAGCCACGCGGCTGTCCCCCTGCAGGAGGCAAAACGTGAGAGGGGAGTTAGCATTTCTCACCAGCAGGAGCCAGGCGGGGGGTCTGGCAGGTGCACAGGTGCTCGGCTCGGCCAGGCGCACGTGCAGCCCCAGGACAGCGCCGCGTCTGCCATCAGTGGCACGAGTGCAGCTGCTCTCGCCAACTCTGTGCCGAGCTCGCCAAGCCAGGGCAGGACAAGGCCACGGTGGGCAGTGGGCTGAAGTAACTCAGAGACGTAAGAAGGCACCAGCTCCACGTCACTGCACCGCTGCTGTTCTCGGAGCGCAGGCAGTGACGCCAGAGTCGGAACGGAACCCGACGGCTTCCACCAGCCTGGGTCTCCACGAGACTTCTCTTCCAAGTCCTCTCCATCTGAGGCTCTTGTGGGGTCCTCGCGGTGACCCAGGTCACTTCAGGGGAAGAAACAGAGGCCGGGTGAGACCCTGGACACGCAGAGGTAAGGACAGCAGACGGCTGCTCTGCCTGGAGGTGCCAGTGTCCGCCCCCACAAACCTCCCACATGAGACCCAGGCCTCAGGTCCAAATCCTCGGCTGTAGGAGTCCATGAGTGAGGGGTGGTCAAGCTCCCTCCCTCGACGCCAACACTGCCGGGTCAGAGCACAGCCTGGGCGCCGCCCCAAACTCGGAATCTCAGCAGGGCGGGGTCTGCCGAGGGTTGGGGCAGCCGGAGCCTCCACCTCCCGCGGGCCTGAGAGCCTGCTCGTGTCGGAGAGGACCACAGCACAACCTGACGACAGCTCTGCCTCGGGCTTCATGTGTGACCCCAGAGTGCTTAAACCTGGGACCACCTGAGACCAGGTGACCCTGGAGCCCTTAGACCCGGGGACCAGGTGACCCCAGAGCCCTTAAACCCGGGGGCCAGGTGACCCCGGAGCCCTTAAACCTGGGGGCCAGGTGACCTCAGAACCCTTAAACCTGGGACCAGGTGACCCCAGGGTGCTTCAACCTGGGGGCCAGGTGACCCCAGAGCCCTTAAACCTGGGACCAGGTGACCCCGGAACCCTTAAACCTGGGGGCCAGGTGACCCCGGAGCCCTTAAAGCTGGGACCAGGTGACCCCAGGACCCTTAAACCTGGAGACCAGGTGACCCCGGAGCCCTTAAACCTGGGGACCAGGTGACCCCGGAATCCTTAAACCTGGGGACCAGGTGACCCCAGAGCCCTTAAAGCTGGGACCAGGTGACCCCAGGACCCTTAAACCTGGAGACCAGGTGACCCCGGAGCCCTTAAACCTGGGGACCAGGTGACCCCGGAGCCCTTAAACCTGGGGACCATGTGACCCCGGAGCCCTTAAACCTGGGGACCAGGTGACCCCGGAATCCTTAAACCTGGGACCAGGTGACCCCGGGGTGCTTAAACCTGGAGTCCAGGTGACCCCGGAGCCCTTAAACCTGGGGACCAGCATTCAGACCTGCACAGCTGCCTGTTACCTTTGGAGCCAGAGCACGTGGCCAGCTGGTATCTGTCCTACAGCCCAGCCACAGCAGGCACAGGAGGCCCCAGGGCACTGGTACTGTTTTTTAAGACTTAATTGTTTACTTGAGAGGTGGAGTTACAGACAGAAGAGAGGGAGAGACAGAGAGAGGTCTTCCATCTGCTGGTTCATTCCCTAAATGGCTGCAACAACTGGAGCTGCGCTGATCCGGAGCCAGGAGCCAGGAGCTTCTTCCCAGTCTCCCATGCAGGTGCAGGGGCCCAAGCACTTGGGCCATCCTCTACTGCTTGCCCAGGCCACAGCAGAGAGCTGGATCAGAAGAGGAGCAGCCTGGACTCGAACCAGCGCCCATAGGAGATGCCTGTACCACAGGGAGCAGCTCTACCCGCTGCGCCACGGCACAGATCGCTGGGTCACGGGTCTCTCAGTGAGGCCCTGGAGACTTCACCAAGCAGTGGAGTGCAGCTATCTGCCTCAGAAGTTCCCCGAAAACGCTGTAGGTCTATGTAGTCTATTTATGGAGGTGAAACTTAGGAAGCGCATCAACCTGGTAAACAACAAAATATCCATGTGAAAACGGTCCCTGGGGCCGGTGGGCAGCAGGCGCCTGTGCAGGCCAGGGGCTGAGCGAGCACAGCTGCAAACGCTCACTTCCAGGGGAACGGGGGGCAGCGAACGGGGACCCCTGAGCCACTTGCAGCAATGGCAAAGGACGACGTTCACGTGAACGTGGGGATCCGCAGACTGGTGAGCAGGTGCACCGCGGGGAAAAGCCACGTGCGAACAGAGGCGGGTGCGCGAGCCCATCACAGGGAGGCACAGGGACGTGAGCCCATCACACAGGCACAGGACGTGAGTCTCTCACACGGGCACAGGACGTGAGTCTCTCACACGGGCACAGGACGTGAGCCCATCACACGGGCACAGGGACATGAGCCCATCACACAGGGACAGGGACGTGAGCCCATCACACAGGCACAGGGACGTGAGCCCATCACACAGGCACAGGGACGTGAGCCCATCACACAGGCACAGGGACGTGAGCCCATCACACGGGCACAGGGACGTGAGCCCATCACACAGGGACAGGTACAGGACGTGAGCCTCTCACACAGGTACAGGGACAGGACGTGCGCCCATCACAGGGAGGCACAGGGACAGGGACACGAGCCCATCACACAGGGACAGGGACGTGAGCCCATCACACGGGCACAGGGACAGGATGTGAGCCCATCACACAGGCACAGGGACATGAGCCCATCACACAGGCACAGGGACGTGAGCCCATCACACAGGGACAGGGACGTGAGCCCATCACACGGGCACAGGGACGTGAGCCCATCACACAGGCACAGGGACAGGATGTGAGCCTCTCACATACAGGTATGCAAGCCTCTCACACAGGCACAGGGACGTGAGCCCATCATACAGGTACAGGTATGTGAGCTTCTCACACAGGCACACGTATGAACCTCACACACAGGCACAGATACGTGAGTCTCTCACACAGGCACAGTATGTGAACCTGTCATGAAAAATTAAGAACTAGGGGCTGGCATTATGGTGTAGTGGGTAAAGCCACTGCCAGAGGTGCTGTCATCCCATGTGAGCACCAACTCGTGTCCTGGCTGCTCTATTTCTGACCCAGCTTTCTGCTCGTGCACCTGGAATGCAGTGGAGTAGGGCACAAGTGCTGAACCCCTGCAACCACACTGGAGACCCGGATGAAGCTCCTGGCTCCTGGCTTCAGCCTGGCCCAGTCCTGGCTGTTGCGGCCTTCTGGGTAATGAACCAGTGAATGAAGATCTCTGTGTGTGTGTGTGTGTGTGTGTGTATCCTTCTCTGTAATTCTGACTTTCAAGTAAATCAATAAATCTTTAAAAACAACAACAACAACAAAGACTCGGCAAATGAGACCTCCCTCCCCCAGAGCAGTGGTGGGCACGCTGGAGACGGGGTCCGTGCAGCGCGCGAGACTGCGAGTGTCACCGAGGGCGTGTGGAGCAGAGGAGGAGCCGGAAGTCTCCCATCCCCCATCGCCCAGCTCCCACGACTCCACCAGGCCTTGCTTCTGAGTTACCGAGCCCAGGCTACAAGAGCGCCCTGAACCCTGACCCGAACGCACGTGGCTTTTCTTGCACACAGAGTGAGCTAGGAGATAAAAGCAGGAGTGAGACTTTGAAGAGAAGGCACACGGTGCCCTTCCTCCAGTAAAGGCAATTAAGACGAGCACAACCTAGCACTTACCGGGATGAAAGTTTTACTGTTGCAATGTGTAATTATCCAAAAACACAAGATCCAAATTCTACCTGCTTTACAAAGAACCTGCTAACAGCCCTTTAAAAAAAAAAAAAAAAACAACTCTTGATTATTTCTTAGTCGTCTCAGAGTTAAAGTAGGGCACGTGCTGGACTGGCGAACAAAGGCCATTTCATAAGACAGGCGTCCCTGGTCTCAGTTAACAGTGGAAGGCAGGGGCTGGCTCCCAGCAGCCGCCTCCACGCCCCGGTGGCCAGTGCAAGACGCGGGCGCGGCCACTAGATGGCGCCTGTGGCCAACGTATGACCTTCCCTCCCCCGCCCAGGGCTGCGTGTGTGGTCCCTTTTCAGAACCGGGATGGAGGAGGTCTCTGCTTTTGAACAGCGGGCATGAGACGCACAGTGAGAGCCTGCCTGAAGGGTCGCCGCACACACGTGCCCATCACTCCTGACGGCTGTCAGTACCGCAGTGCGTCCCACTGATGCAGGCATTTCACCCGCGGTCACAGCGCACTGGTGGCTCGGTCTGCATATTCCTCAGGACACGGGGGCGGGCACGCAGACGCGTGACACTAACAGAGGCCCGGATTACCGGACAGACAGGGACACAAACGGAATGCTCCGTCTCTGCAGTGGATGCGGCGTCACAGCCACACCTCCGACTTCTCAGAAGAGGGTTCTGGGAGTTAGCGCCCGACTTCAGGCACCAGCAGGTGAGTGACTGGGGTGACTGTGCTCTCCAGGCATTCCCGCCGAGTCTGCACTTGGTGCCTTCCAGGCCTGGTCCAGGAGGCATTCCCGCCAAGTCTGCATGTGGTGCCCCCCAGGCCTGGTCCAGGAGGCATTCCCGCCGAGTCTGCACGTGGTGCCTGCCAGGCCTGGCCTCCAGCTCCGGACCGCAAAGGCCTCGTCTCAGGGCCCGACCCTGTGCCTCGTGTAAAACTCCTCTTCCATTCAGCGCCTCGGTCACTCAACAAACAAGGACACGGCCCCGCGGGAGGAGGCCTGGGCCTCCCAGCAACCGCTGCCTCAGGTTGCGGGTATGGAAGCCCTGCGGAAATGGACGCTTCTGGCTCTCCCCAGCTCCGGCTTTCCAGGGCCAGGGTGCGCCGAACCCACGGAGGGAGGGACAAGCACCCCAGAGGACTCCTCCACGAGCCGAGGCAGGAGGGCGGAGGGGCTGTCCAGCAACAAATGTGGGCTGGGGGTGGGAGCCGGCAGAGAAGGGCGCTTCCGGGAGACTGACTCGGGGCCGAGCAAGGGGAGGCTCCGTGTGCTCAGCAGGTGTGGGCAGGTCCCCCCCACAGCTTCCTCCCGGCCAAGGGTACCGAGTCAGGAAGGCAGCCCCCAGAGGGGTGACTGCAGGTCCCAACCCCCGGGCTGAGTGACGGAGCGGGGACAGCCATGTCACCGGAGAGCCGCCCTGATCTGACTGCCCCACAGTCCACACTGTACTCCTCAAACATGACCACCACCCACCTCAAAGATGCTCTCCATGTTTTTAATGAAAACTAGTAAATTTTTAAAAATAAGTTCCAAGGCTGTGTATCTCTGGGGAAGCAGACTGAGCAGCTCTGGAACGCGGCTCTGAGCACCTGCTGGGCCATGAGGCCCCAACGCCCCCGGGGTTAAACCTTGGGCATTTTAAGGAAGCCAAATATGTAAAGCAGCCCGCACCCATCCGGCCTAGCATGGCCCCCTGCAGCCCCATGGCCAGCTCTGCCACCGCGCCAGCACTGAGCCCAGCGGGGAGAACTGGTCCTGGAGCAGCCCGAGGCCACAACCCAGGCCACAGCAGTAGCAGGCCCGGCCGTGGCGGCCACACAGACACGCAGACGGAGG